CGCGCTCACCTGGCATGCATGCGGCCCGGGTTCGATCCTCAGCACCACATACAAACAAAGATGTTGTGTCTGCCGAAAACTGAAAAATAAATATTAAAAAAAAAAATTCTCTCTCTCTCTCTCTCTCTCTCTCTCTCTCTAAAAAAATAAATAAATAAAACCCACTCCTCTTTCCTGCCTTAAAAAAAATAATCTTTACTGGTTAGCAAACTGCCAGAGGAGTTGCCCAAATGGAGACTAGTGCATCTTTAGATTAAGAGAGTGATTCTAGGAGAGTGAACAGGATCTATACCTAATGAGAAAGACAAACCATAACACCTTGCAACACTAGTGCATGCAGTTAACGCTTGCATGTCATAGAAATGGGTCGGCAGGAAGAAAACAAAGTGCAGAAGAGGTACACAGAAGTAAACAGGCACCAAGCTTGGTGACACACACCTGTCATCCCAGTTCCTCAGGAGGCTGAGGCAGGAGGATCCTAAGTTCAAAGCCAGCCTCAACAACTTATCGAAGCCCTAAGTAACTTAGTGAGAACCCTGTGGCTCAGGGATTAAGTGCCCCTGCGTTCTATCCCTGGTACCAAAAATAAAAAGTCAAACAGCCAGTGAAGGAAGCTGGGACAGAGGTTTTAGGGGAGAAGGTATATAAAGGGAAGACAGCAATTAAGTGACATTTGATGGTTGGCAGTGAGAATCTATCTATCTTTCTGTTTACTTTGCAAATTACAGCAATGCTTTATGTTAAACTGGACAAATCTACTAGTGTGCCTCTTTAATTTTAAGTCACTCAWACCAAGAGGTGGTGGGGGAGGGAAACCAAATAAAGCAGCATTCAGGAAGACGACAGACAAGGAAAAAGTGGCCAAGGAGAAGAACTGGTGGCAGGTAAAGTTTTCAATATCAAGGCCATGGAAGATAGGACTCAGCAAACCAAAGTCACCATTTCCGCATTACCCTTTGTCTTCTATTAACTACTGTGAAAATTACAGTCAAACCAACTTCACACATTTTTACGGTTTATGTTTGGATGACGTCTCCTGCACGTGCTTCCACCAGAACAAAAATGGAAAACCCAAAGAGTTCCTTTCCACATAAGGCACAGGACAAAACTGGCCCCATTTACATAGTCAAGGCAAAAATGAGTGTTTTCCTGGCTTTGGGCTTTTGCTATCACACATCCATAGATTATAGGGACTCAAGYACATTATCCCTAGGCTAGGCAGAAACTTGGGCTCCTTCCAGGTCAGGTTCCTGTGTAGCAGGGCTGAGAAACTACAGACCCAACCAGGCCATTTCAAGGTCAAGCTGACTCCCATGTAAGCAGAAAAACTGATAATGACACACCCATTGCCTGGCACCTAAACTCCCACCAAAAGCAGCGGGGCATGGTAACTTGATTGGACTAAAAAGTGCATGAAGAGCTCACAAACTCTGAGCACCTTACCTAGGATKGGGTATGGAACTAGCTTTCTTAACCCTGAAGATTCATATAAACCYCTAGACAACAGCCATCTCSGGTACCCTCTCTTGGGACCCCTCATCCTTTGAGAGCTCCTCTTTCTTTCCATTACTCAAATAAATCCTGTTACTTTGCACTCACCT